ATCACGAATATACGTGTAATATTAAGCTCGAAAAAAAAAGAGAAACCCATGTCTGGACTCCAGAAGTCTTCGTGACCCTACGAAAAGAAGTTTATTTGATGTGAAAGCTAATAATTTTTACCTATCATTATAAATTGCGTCTATTGGGGCTTACAATTCGTTATAGTGGATTTCTTTTCATTTCCATACTAGAAGCAGTGGCATACACGTGTATATTATATCCTCATGGTTCAGGAGAGTTGGGGTTTTCCCCTCAGTCACACATTATCGTCTTTTTATTTTCTTTCTGTATGATACATAAGCGAGAAATCCATAAGAAGGAATGCTAAAAGTACCGAACTATGCATTTTATCGCATGGCGTTAATTTGAGTTTCATAAATAAGAGAAACCGGCTGACGGGACTCTTTCTGCTTTTATTCCGGCCTCTTAAAGAGATATTGTAACCGGAATGCATACTGAGATTAGGGGAATCTTCAGAAGAATTATTTTCACGGTCTCTTGTTGGCTGTCCATAGACATTCCTTATCTCGTACGTTAGAATATTGAAGAGCGTACGTTGATTTTGATAAAGGGACGTACTTTTGACTGTCGGACGCATGGATGTGAGAAAAGAGCGCAGAGTTTTGCGGATCGTACGTTAAGTTTTGAAAAATGTCCATCAATATATGAAATAGGGCTCTAGCAATTGGGAAAATCTGTAAGCCCGTGAGAGTATCTCCCATGAAATAAAGTTTGGCTATGTGTTCCTGCGAAGGTGCAGAAACGCTAGGTGACACTAGCGCGAGAATTTTCCCGTGTCCACCCGCCTACGAGTCTTGTAGGCTGGCATCGGGGGAGCAGTCCTTTGCTACCTCGTATTTCCACTCCATTTACCGGGCATACCGATTTCGCTTTCCCGTCTCACTCATACGTGCACTCTTTTACGAGTCCCAACGTGTTGCAATAGGTGTTGGGGTGTCCAGAGATGGGAAGGACGAACAGAGACATGGATCTCGGCTGTCACTGGTCCACTGGATCGTTTTGAGTGTCCTCGCCTCCGCGGTCGTCCTTATCTGCCTCTCGTGCACGACGTACACATGCAAGCGGAAAGGGGTGGACGAAGCCATGTTGAGACGAAGCGACCCCTACTGCGACGGATGCGAACGGGAGAGCGATGCAGGCAGCGGAAAGGACGCATGCAGCGTCGCCACCACGACGGGAACCTACATGAGTGGGATCCTAGGGACACCTTGCCTCTTCCTTCGCCGCAAGAGGCTCCGACACCCGCGCGAGAGACACTTCCGGAACTCGCGATCGGAGACGGACTTTTCGGTCGTGCCTAGGATGGAAAGGAACTCAGCGAGTCGTTCCTTGCCCGCTTCACCGATGCAGAAGGAAGTCCTTCCAAAGAAGGGGATTCTCAAGAATTCCAGTCGTTCCACGACCAACCGGACTCCATCTCAAGGTTCGTTAGATCTGGAAATGGATTACTACGACTTCGACTTGGAGAATGCGTCCGCAGTCCCCGGTTCCCTATTTCATTCCTGGGGCATCCAGGACGCAGGCGACCGGATGAGCCTGGGGGAAAGCATCCCAATGCTTCCCGTTCAGAAAAAGGATTTTGACGACGACACCTGAGTCACACGACGTTCTCCGTCTCTGTGCCATGCCAAAGCCGCGAGTCGAAAGTGTAATGCTCTTTCCTGCCTTAGGAATAAATCCGTTATAGTTCCGCTCGGCGTTTTTCTGTATACCACGTGCAGTTGCCGGCATTCATCAGACCAGTACCATTTCTTCGTGCGTTTTCTCTCTTTCGAAAATGGAACACCACATCTGCGAGGTATCACAAATCAGTTTTATCGCTCCAAAGCAATCAAACCAACGAAACCGTGTCGTCGAACTTCAAACGGTGCACAGAAAAAGAAAAAACTTGCTCTTCGTCAATTGTCAGGTCACTCTAAATGCAGTGTAGTAGAGAGCGGGCAGAACGGGATAAAGAATTTAAAAAAGACCTGTTTCATTACGAAACGACAATGAGGGGTCTACAGCTTGTCTAGGAAGGCGAGAGAACCAGGATTCACGGATGAGATGACGTGACGGGTGTCGGGGTGCGGGTGGCAGCCGGGGACGGTTCTTCCGAAGGGATGCTTCCCACGGACTCCAGCGGATCGAAACCCAATCCACACGCCTGGCAACAGAAAATAAACTAAATAAAAAACCTCCGGCAACATCGCTTCAAACTCCAAACAATTGGATGCAGTGGTGATTTTCCGGCCATCGTAAGAGTGTGCTGTCACCAAGCCGATAGAAATTTGGGTCCAGGGGATCTCGAGGCCACGAGCATACGAACGAAGGGTAGGGCTAGTCATCTCAAACGAATGTGGGAAGCATGCTTTTTTTTTCTCCTTTCCCACCTCCAAACGATTTTTTTCAACTACAGTACTTCAAAGGTTATTAGTTTTTCCTTACATTTTCCATTTTCTATTCTTTCTTTTTTTTTTCCCTTTGACCTTCTGGGTCATTCCGATCCAAATCACCCAAAATGACTAAAAACTGGTGGCACTACAATCTAGGATTTCTCAAAAATTTCCCTCATAGGTGAAGGGTGAAAAAAACCATACTAGAAAAACTTCAGGTTCCTAAGATTAGTAGTTTTCAAAATAAGATTTGTTTTCAATTTGGGGGCAGAACTTACTTTCGGAGAAAAAATCAGCTGAATTAAAGTCAGTCATAAATTTTAAAGTTACTGTCTGATTTTGATGGAACTTTTAAAACTATAAAGTGGAGATTAATACAATTATTATTGCAAAGAAGGTCATATTTATTGGCATTTTCAGGAACTTGTCATCTCCTGTCTGCATTCTGAAAGTACAATTACTTTCATACAGGGGTATGCAACCATAAGCCTCTATAGAAACAGCAAATGTTCAGTCTTCTCCTTGGCAGATCTGATATTGGGGGCAATGAAGTCACAGAGATTTTTCAAAATTCAGGAAGTTCACTTTTACTTATCTCAAATCTGCAAGGTTATGGAGTCCTGAAAGTTCCCATAAATACTCAACTATACAAGCTTAACTTGTTTAATAAATTCAAAGTTCTTTCCCTGATTTTGATGTAAGAAATATGGCCCTTTGAATTAGGTCTGACTCTCATTTAGGAATATCATAAGAAATAAGGCACTCATGTTATAGCATTCCTTTCTCCCTTCCAGAAGGTTAATAAAAATATATACCAGAGCTTTAAACATACAAATGGAATATTTCAGTATTTGAGTAGCAGGTAGAATATATATATATTTTATTACCAACACTAGACTTTGCACAAAGGAAGCTTATGAGTGACATCCTCTTGAAACTCATACAGTTCCAAACCAGCAAATCAGTACCTCTGTGTTCTATTGAAATGGCTTGAAGTTAATCAAGTACCTCTCAAGTATATATGTAAATACATAAATTTGAATGCATACATGCTCATTTAAATTATTCTTAAAAATACATTCATGCATATTCTAGTTCAAAATCAACTTCTTATTTTACTTTAAGACCACTTCTTTCTTGCAAGGAAAAGGATGCCTGCATGCAATGCATTATGTGTCTGTTTTCATCTTGTCTGGAACCAAAGAGACCGTGTGTGGACATCCAGTCTTGAACTGATTGTCTTATGAAACACGAGATTCCTGTTCTCTAGTCCTATAGCCTATCAATTTTACCACGTAGACAAATGCAAACGACAACAGAGCAACAACTCTGGCCCATCTGGAATTTTCACAATTCTCTAAGCCCAATTACAGAGAATTGAACCAGTTTCCAGATCCCTTTGGAATCAGTATTGCAGAGTCTGTTCTTTACTGACAAAAATGCAACTTGTTGAAGGTAGCTCATTTTTGCAGTCATCAGTTTGAGCAAACTCCGAGTTTGCTCCTAAGATGCAGGAGTCGACGTTGCATAGAAGTGTCAAGAAAAAGATCATTAAGTGCGTGGTCATCTTTGTCCGAAGATGCAGTTTTTGTCTGGAGTGGCAGCACTCTGTTTTAAAAAATTATGACAGCGCAGCGATCCGACAGACGAGTGCAAAACTCATCACGTTTCCTTCACCAATCAGAGTAGGAATTCTGGGTCAATTAAAATTCGACCGATCGATTCGTCAGACCGCCGAAGATGATTCGGATTTAGCTTTTACATCGTTCGGCAGCCCAATGACAGTGACGATGCATTCTGCCGGTTGCATAGAATCGAACCGAAATCCATGGAGACTCGTAGTCTCGTCGATGCAAGCACGACTAGAAAGAGGAAGGGAAGCCAGGATGTACCTGAGGATCGCTGTTATCACCGAAATGCCTATTGGAGCCAGTTTCGGGAGGGGGAGGCCACATGCTGGTCAAGCCGAGGCCTAACCCCAGGCCTCCCCATAGAGAATCCCCTCCAGAGCCCTGGGGAATCATCTGGGAGCAGGGGGTATCCCACATGCTTTGCTCTTGACGCCTCAGTCGCTCCAACATCGATCCTCCTCCTGCATCAAGAAAAAACGTTCGCGATCATCCAATCCTTGCGGAGAGAGGGAAGACGATGACATTCACTCACCCTCATTCAAAGACGAAGCGAGCGGAGAATAGGAACGAGTCGCAGCGGCCGGTGAAGGGGACGAGGAATTCCATGCTGACGGAAATGGATTCACCGAAACTTGTGGGATCTGTGAAATGGTTTAAATCCGTTAGTCTCGGCAACGAGTGAACGAGTTCACTACAGAGTACATTCCAAATCTTTCACTTTTCCAAATGGCAGAAATGAATCAGGAGCTGTGGTTTACGGATGCACCCCAAGATCAAGGTTTTAACCATGCTTTTTTTAATTATCAGATCGTGCACTCAGAATCATGAACATCTCTTAAGCAGCAGGTCGCAAGTCGTTACGTTGCACACTGGCAGAAGGAAGGAATATGGGAAAATGTAAAGGTCGCCTTCACCAGAGGAGAGCGTTCGGTCGCTCCGCGGAAGTCTTAAGTACCCGAGAGCAGGATTCTACAGAAATGCAAAAAGGAAGACGGGGAAGAATCGGACCCGAGGGAAGAGAGGTGGCGAGGAGGAGAAGAAGCTGTCGGCGTATTGCGTGCTGATGGACTCGATCCAAGCGTCCGGGCTCATGACCGTGGTCGAAGTAGGAGATGCAGTCTTTCGCTCTCCTCCTATAGCTCCTAGATCTCCCCTCTTTCCATCCACATCTTTCGCTCCCTTGGCTTTACCCTAGATACGAAAACGTTCCTTTTCTTGTAAACTTATCACTCTCGCGACTGCGCGTTCGTATGCCTCACCCTTTCGAACGCGACGACGAGAGGCGAGGGCAGCAGAGAGATCGGTTGGGACACGGATCGGACGAAACCTTCTGTCTGGGCTGCCGATTCCTCCAGGTTTTCCATCTCGGGTGGCAAGAGACAGGGTGCATCCCAAGAGGTCGGACCCGGGCCGCTCCGGGGAGGCCGGGGCGCGCCCGGAGCGAGTTCGCACGTTCTCGTCTTCCGCCTCCTGTCCACACCTCTCCCGACGCTCTCGCCATGCTCCAAATTCATCAGATGGGTTGGGATACCGTTCACGGAAGGGACGAGGAGCGCGGGACGGACCCGCTCCTCCGTCCCCGGGAAGTCGAAGGACGGACGAGGGGACGAACGCGGAGACGGGGACGGGGACTTGGCAGGAGAAGGTGTGTCCCACGATTCCTCGTCGTCTCGTCTCCTGGCTTTCTGCTTCCCGGCGCGACACAGCCTGTGTCCCCCTTTGAGGGAGAGTTCCCCAACCGTCCTGCGTTTCTCCTCCTTCCTTCTTTTCAGTGCTTCTTCTTCCAGCTGCTCCCGAATGATCCTTTCCCGCTTACGGCTCTGTCGCGAGAAAGAACGCCAGGCAAGCTTTAAAGACAACGAAGACCACGGTACAAAATTTAAAAAATCGAGAAGTGCCCCTTAATTGCAGGGCACTATAGAAGAAGGCACTCGATGATTCATTCCACTTTTCAAGGCACCTCAGGTGAAGTGGGGGGGGGGGGGGAGAAGCCTAGACTCATGGAAAGGATGCATGCATGTGGGTCGATAAAACGGTCACCTCAACTCCGACAAGGCGATTTCCAATAACCGTTCAAGTCACCAATTATTTCAGGAATCTGGTATTGATCCGGAAAGCGGCTCCCTGACAGTACGACTGTCGAGACATACAAGACACCCATCTCAACCATATTCATTGACAGACAAAAATAAAAAACTACTGCATCACAGTGGACTGCCGATGCATGTCACAGATGCAATAGAAGGGCAATAAAAATAACATCAGAGATTTGGAAGAGATTTCCTTGTCTCATAGGTACCAAGTTAGCTGTGGTTCACACAATTTTACAGCATGGAAGGGTCCCTGATTCTGAATGATTTCAATGCATTTAGAGATTGGAAAGCCGTAGTGAGAAGTCGGCTTTGGTATAATACAATCTGGTTGGGTTTGTTTTGTAATATAATGTTCGCAAGTGATGATTTGAATTGGCCGGCAGGCCTTTCAAAATGGTATGAACGCTGACTTCTACACGACACATCTTTTCGGCCATTACCACGCTTCCGGGTGACAGTCAACAATGCCCTCCTGACAAGAGATATGTAACGCCTCGTGTGTAACGCCTCGGGGTTGCCTAAACGGAATTTTAGTCAAGTCCTGATTAAACCTCTCCCAATTCAGATGGGTGAGCTTTTCAACATTAAACCTGGCTATACTTCTTTGACTAGATTTTAAATGGACGTTAAATTAGGTTCCCACATACGGTCCTATACGAGAGAAAAAGAGTAGATTAGAAGAACCAGCTCACGCTGTCACTGTCGTCCTCCATGGCGGAACTCTCAGTTGTCAATGTCGAAAGACTCTCGCAATCCTTCTTTTTCTTCTTTTTTCGGCTTCTTCCACCGGTCTTCGTTCTCTCTAACTCTTTACTCTTGTCACTCTTATCTTCTGTTTTCTTCGCTTCCTCTTCTCGACTCGCTTCGGATCCCTCCTCATCGGGGGGAAGCAACGGTGGCAGAGGAGGAGCTGCTACGAGAAACTCTTTTTCTATCGATGTTGGGATTGCCAAATCAATACCGTGCATGTCGTCGTTTCCGAGCCTTCTGATTCGTCTTCGACATTCCCTTCCCGCCGTCCAGTTCTTGTTGGAGCCGGCCTTGGATTCTCGCGCGGATGATTCCGGCTCGAGCCGAGGAATGCGTTCTTTGGCGATGGCCTTCAGATCGAACACTTGGACCATCTTCCGAGACGATTCCACGCTTGGGGTTGGAGCGATCGTAGCCACGTTCACGAATGTGTTTCTCAAGATCCCATCAGCCTCCAGATACCCAGCCACGAGAGTGCACGAAAAGAAGAAGCCCAGGGCAGCTGCCATGGTGTAATATAGCAAGGTCTCCCAAGGCGGACGAGGGATGGTGGCCGCACACTCGAGAAGCATGCCCGGCGCCACCGTCGCGAGGAGCTGGTAACGATGACGTCCCGCTTCTCCGTTGGGGTCGAGACTCGAAAGGATGGTCAGGGTCTGTTGGACGCGAGACAGGGTGAAATCCGGCGAGAACACGATCTCGATCGATCGCGACTCGTTTGGGGAAAGATGAAACCCCGAGCACTGCACCACACGAAATCCATAGCCTTCACACGGATAGCCGCCAATTCTCCAGCCATGGATGTGCACGGGAATATCGCCGGTGTTGCGAAAAGAGAAACTCCTCTTCAAGGTGAATTCCTGATACGTGTGAGGACTCGGTTTCTTCCCTGCCAACACATGAGAACCCATACCGACGAGCTCTATAGCTAAGAGAAAGATCATCTGGGTGAGCTCACTGTGACAGTCCTTAAGATGTCGATCTGAGATATCGAATAAGAATGGGGATGGATGATTCGTGCGTCGGTTGCCAAACTTCAATTCTCCCTTGCTCCCTTCACCTTCCAGCAATATCAGGTCCAGGCCCGTCAGATTGTTCCTGCAACGTTGAAAGCAAGAATGCAGAGTTAACACCATATCAAAGTCCTCCTTTGTGAGATAAAGCCACCGACCGAAGGAAGAGAAGAGACAGATGGCGACCGGGTTTGGAAGGAAAAAAGATGATATTCAAAGATGCAGATCCGTTCGGTTCCAAGGAGAAGAGTTGACTCTGATTGCAGCATTCATCACCCCTTTCCGCCTCGACGAGACTGAAACTTCCTTCTTCCATGTCCACTGTTTCTCCGAATCTGTTCGATTGATCGCGACGGATGCTTCGTGCTGCTCGCTAGGACCGACCGAAAGGTAGAGAGGAGAGACTCACAAAGAAGAAACCAGATCTCGCAGTTCCACCGAGGGCGGATAGAAGGGGAGAGTAGCAGCTTGAACCAGAACGGGATGATGGGAAGGGTTGGAGATCTTTGCGGTGGCCACGCTCACATTACCCACTTGCGTCAACGGGAGGGATATCGAAAGCGGTCCCAAACGAGGCCTCTTCAGCTCCACTTTTGCCCAAAACTGAAAACCTTTCACCTGAACACAGGATAGGGATTCCATTTCCTTTCTCAAGACGAAAAAAAGTCCAGGACCCGAATGTACAAGCCTCATTTAAGGGTGCGAAAGGGGCTTTCAAACTAAAGAACTCTTCACACATAGGAGTCCATGTATTCTTACTGGACCGTTACCTAAAGGAAGTTTCAACATTTGGACCGAGGTCTCTATATCGTTTCCAAAAAGACGGTCACTCGACATCCTTTCAACGTCGCACTCGATCGTACCAATTGTACCACGGAAAACGTCGGCGTTGATTCTGAGCCACACCTTTGACGAAACCCAAGACCGAAAACACCTAGGTGTAGGAGGTCGACTCACCTCGTTGGTATCGAGCTGGAGGGAAACATTGCAAGAACAATTTCTTTTCTGCATACTATAGATATCGTTTAAATCCTTGAGAAGCTGCAGATCATCTTGGGCTGTCTGAATCTTCAAGATGCAACTCGGTCTCCAGTTCTTCCAAACTGTGAAACGAAATCGTTTTTCAACGCGCACAACATCCAGCTTTTCGTGATCGAGAAACTGCTACAATTGCTCACTGGAACAAGACTCATTATATCCCGTGTAACAGCAGGGCGCGCAGGAGGGACCGAGATCGAGGACGAGCGTGCCGATGTGGGTCACGGATTCCGGGTAAAGGACGATAGGGGGTGGATTCCCGTTGTCTCCAAGCGGAGACGCCGCATGGAACGAGAGACGGGGATCTGCTGGGATGGGGCTCACCCGAGCTAGTCTCAGCGGATGATGGAACGAGGAATACACGTGTACCTCCGTCCTAGAGATCTTGCCCTGCGTCATGAACGATATTCAATATATGCTTTGGCTCTCTCCAGGGTGAATATCGACCACCCATAACCTGTTTCCCTCCTACGGGCTCAATTATTACATGCTAAAGGGAAGCAATGTGAGATCGGATTCAAACAGAAACTGAACAGATTCAAAACTCAAACTGAAGCGAACCTAAAGTCTGCAAAATTCCACGCTCACACTATATCAAAACCCAATATTCTGGAACCTGAAGTGAACCGAACTCAAACCTTAGTTCCTCAAATGCAAAGTAGTGACCCATGCCCATCAAACCTCACATACCCAAGTGCTTTCTTGCAACAATGCAAATGAGCAGTACTTAAAGAGGGCAAATTAACTTAATATTTTAAAAGCCCTAAGTAATGAGTAATATTTTACAATACTATTTATTAGATAGTGTTAAGTCCCACTTACTTCATAAATTATTATCTTTATCAATAGGGGTATTGAAGGCTAGAGTATGCAATAGCTGCCGGAGGGCAGATACCCACCTCCAGCTCTTGATGCCATAAATACCGTCATGCCCCTCCAGTTGGCCAGTTCTCTCCTCCCTCTCTCACGTTCAAGCAAACACGGTTATCATAAACGGGATATAAACCTAATTTATCACCTTTAAGCACCTACTTCTCAAAACAGTATTTAAAAAGAAAGTAAAAGCATTTTGCTTGCTAGTAATACAAAGTTTCGAAGGAATTTCTTCAAAGCAATCGCAAACTGAACACATGCAAACATTTTGTCAAATTTATGAACTTAAAATGAACAAAACCCGTTGAACTTCAAGTTAGCGCTCTACCAGTTTGATAGGTCCGAGTTCAGTTGATAATGAACTCGAAGCTCCAGTGCATAAAACTTCTCAAACGCGAATTGATGCAAATCAAAGGTTCAACCTCTTTAACTTACATCGTACTTAAACATCTGAAATTTGTATGCTGAACCCTTTGGGGTCCGAGTATTTTGAATGTGTCAGAACTGTCATTCAAGTTTTATCTATCCTTCATCATGAGAGCAACACGAGATATCTCGGGCGTGGACCCCAAAGGGTTAATGCACCTGAGCAGGTGACACTGTAAAAGGCATAGTGCTAGATAAGAGCTTTCGCACGAGAAGAAGATGATGCAAGAGCGATGGGACTCTGATTACGAGTTATTTGTCGCCCAGTATGATAACTGACCATCGTTTAGCTGTACATCAAGCGAAAAAGCATAAGGGCAGAAGGAGGATGATGAGTTCCTTTCGTGATGCTTGGCATCTCGGAGAGGGGGTGAGAGATCCTGGCACGATCTACCACATCTGAAAACCCGCAGCCAATCGAAATAAGAGTGTATGATACTCACAGGGAAGGCATCTGGAAAGTCCAGGCTTGTAGGGATGAAGGAGAGGGTGCCAAGGGCGGTACGGAGGCGAAACGGGACATCCATCTCTTCGTAGACGGTGTGAACAAACACCTTTCCGTAATGCATCCCCTCCTCCGTCGGCGTGCGCACCCCAAGTCGAAAAAGAACGAAGTACCCAGGGGCGATGATCAGCTGGAACAAGCAAATGGGTTTTCAAAGTCTCCATCTGCTTCCACTTCTACTTTCATAGATTTCCATCCGTGACTCAACTAAACTGCCTCCCATGCGCAAAAAAAAAACAATAAAAATGACTTCTTAAGGCACGGACAAACGCACGGAAATGTAGACAAAAGCAAGACAATGCATTTTAAAAATAAATAGTGAAAAAAGGCGTAGAGTTTTGAAGCAAAATCAGTTAGCTAATAGTTATTTCCAAAGAGCCGAAAGGTTTGTCCAAGGCTTAGGGTAACTTGGGGGGGAATATGGCCATTGGGGTAATATGGCTCTTCTTCCCTGACAGACTGAAGAATTAGTTTGGGCGAATAAAAAAAAAATTTTCTATCGAGGAGTATATGCCAAGGGGCGGAAACTGGCGCTGCTGTCGCGGCACCTTTTGAAGCCATCTTTTTGGGGGTCAAACGAGCCTGTAAAACCACGTGGTACCCATGCCGGAGCATTTCTCTGATCCCAACCTCAGGAATCGTGGTGGACGTCCGCCCGAAGTAAAGCTTTACGAGCACACTTTTCACAAGGCAAGATAGGTATACAAGTACAGGCCTATAGTTGTGTGTCCAATGGATGAGCCTAACTCTTCACTAACGTTACAGAGAACCTGGCCTAGGCCTTCCGTATACATGGGATCATTGGGGTAGGCCAAGCACTCCCGGTTTTCAATAGCCGATTGTAAGCTAGGCCTTTGATCGGCTTCATGTTTGGCCTATTTGCAAAGGGCCCAAGCAAAATTATGTCCATTGGACCTAGAGGTACTTTAGGTCCACAGATCATTTC